TGTGGTAACTGGGGACCGCATACCTAACGTAAGCCTGTGAAAGGGGCATGAAGGTCTGCTTCAGGAGCTGGGGGGTGGGAGTGGGGAGGGGTTTGTGGTGGGGGCTACAGCCAAATGCTTGTGTTTGGCCATTTCGGTGATTTTTCCCAGTAATGGTACTGACATATCACTTGCGATCTTAATGGCCTGCAAGGAAAAAGCTGTCCGATAAAAGACTGACGGAGGGTGCTAAGTGGGGTTTCTTGCATCTTGTCTGGGTGGAAAAAATGCCTAAAACTCAAATTTCACAAGAGCACGAACTGCTAGAGACTGTGCTGACCTTCACTTATTAACCAAATGCTGTCCGTCAGACTTTAAAATGCTCAACAGTGTGGAGGTGCTAACCCAAGAAGTTTTGAAGGCATATGAACAAAAATACCTCTACTTTTTTTTCGTGACATAAATTGCGAATGTAGCTTCTACCTTTTTACAACATTAGTATCTAGCGATGGCAGATGGTTTCTACGGATGCTTGATGAGCCCAACCTGAGTTCCATTCCCAGCCACGTCTAAGATCAGTGGCGGGGTGATAACTGAGCCAGTCCACGACCACCTTCATGAACCCACGGTGTCTCCTGTGGGGGAAGTATGGTCCAACAGCCTCCATGTCCGAGACGGCGTGGTGGAGAGGCCTTCTTCCAGCAGTGGGTCGTCAAAGGGATGTATTTATTATTACATTATTCTGTACTTAAAAAGATGGGGGCGTCAGGATAACCACAACAGTCTGTAGTTGTAGCAGTCCCATTCATATCTCGTCTCAAAATGTTTTTTTCCCCCCCACCACAACTGCAGTTAGTGATGCAACAGTGTTTTCCGCACGATTAAAAAAAATGCGTTTAAAAATGCGGTTGCAGGTGAAAACCCTTAATCCGATTGGCAATGCATCACTCCCTGCCTGATAGGGGTGGAGAGGGAGTCAAGGGGGTTAAATATGAGTCAAAGGTTAAACGGGGGAAAACAGCCACTAATTTCAGAGACCCATTTGGGTCAGGGTCAGGCTCTGGGGTCAGCTGTTAGTTTGCAATTAACTCCTGTATTGGCCACAGAATTAAGATGCCTGCACAACCCATATAACATTCTATCCATAGGAGTTTCCAACAAACCCATCCGAGTCAAAGTAATGCAAAACATGTATACGTTCCTTTGTCATCATTATTAGCATCATCAGCAAAGCTCAATCCACTGCTAGATGAAGGCCTCTTAAATTAGTTGCCACATAAGCTGTAATGTGCACTATAATAACAATTTTCAGTAATTGTTAAATCCACTGCTAGAGGAAGGCCTCCCCCACACAGTGTCATCATGGACGTTGTTTGACTATACTTCACCACACTGGTCAATGCGGGTTGATGAAGGGTTGGTCCCTAAGACCGGTTAAGATGTCACTCTCCAACTGATAAAAATCACGGCTGGGAATTAAACTCAGGCCACCCAGGTTCATATTAAAGTGGCGCTAACAGCTCAACGGTATACTACTGAACGTGCTCAACAATTCTCAGCCACACAAATTCAGGATGGCAGCATTAAGAATTGAGAGCTTTTCCTTCACGGAATGTATTTCTTCTTTCAACAATAGTATTTGTTTTTGTGGGCGTGTAAGGCAATGCAGAATTGCGGTAAGTTTCCAGGGTCAGACTTTTTAGATGCAGTAAAAAAAACCCACACTGTACGTGGAACCCAAAGACAAATGGGTCTTGACGTGTAGATATTTAGATATGGGTTGCAAATCCATCAAGGTACATTCCAGCTAGGTTTTCCTTAACATTGCAAATGTTGTGACCCTGTGGCTAATGGGGCGAGAGAACGTTAGGATGGGCTCTCTTCGCAGCCCAGCTGTTTTGGTAACCGCAAGTATCTTGCCAGGTCTCATTATGCCCAGGTAGGCTCGTTTTCAACATTTTCTTTTTCGTAAATACTCTTCTAATTTGCCAACTGATTTAGCCGTTACCAATAGTTATAATGTGGTAAAATAAAAAAAGTCCAGTCAGGTGAGGACACATTGTAAACTCGTATTTTTGTAGACATCGTTTAAAAAGAAATGTAATTAATGTGAACATTTTTTTGGCACGGTACGTCTGAATTTAAATGGGCGGTGAATTAATTGTTGAACTTTTATGACCTGGCAAATGGCAGACACCCTGCAATTACCGTGGTTTTATATATATTCTTTATCGCTTTATCTCCCGTTACAATCCCCCCAGATGCCAGGTCTGCAGGCACTTGTGAGATGTTATCTATTGATCTGAAGCAAAGTTGCCATTCTCATGAAGAGGAATCCTTTTTAAGATACTCTATCTGCCCCGTGGAAGTGTGAAACACTAAAGCGAGGAGAACAGGTCAGACTGGGTTGTGCTTAAATATGAAAGAGTACAAGACAGTTTCAATTGTAAAAAAAAAAACGAAGGCACGGGTAAATAGAAGTTACCCTATTTGTGTCTGAACAGGAATTTGGCCACCTCTGGTCTCTAACCCTATGTGGCAAGAAATGTGAGAGCCGTTTTTTAATCTTCCCAGAGCAGTGTTTTGCCAGTTGTGGATAACAAGAGGAGGTATTGTTCTTACTTTAGACATCAAAATATGCAACTGCCACTCATCCTGCAAGCGCGTGATGGGAAGGTGCATGAGCAAAACATTGGATTTCAACACTTTGACTTGTAATGGCTTGTTATCATTTTGTCGGAGTGTCACTGTATGTTTTTTTTGTGCTGATGTACATTTTTACTAATATGGTGCTGGAGTTTTTGATAAATATATTTACATGGTGACCTTTTGTTTTTGACAAGATGATAAGGAGAAAAAACTAATTTTGTGTTCGTACATACCGAAAAACCTGTTGTCAATCCACTTGCGGACAAACACCTCCCCCACACTGTCGGTCGTGGGGGTTGTTTGACCATACTTCACCACGCTGGTCACTGCGAATGCATGGGGACTAAAATTCCAATGTATAATGAGAATACACAGGTATACTGCATCTGCTGAAGCTCTTAATAATAGACCGCACTTGTGCATGTCTCTGAAAGGCGTTCTGCTCAAATAGTTTGAAGATCACGTGTCTCAAAGGGCACACCAGCACAGGTGACTCAGTTACATATCACCACACTGTCCGCAGGCTTTTAAGGGAAGAGTGTGACCCAGGTACAATTAAATTGGGCACCGCGAATATGAATTCCGTGATCTTTATCTTCGTTGAAGCGTGTGCGTGTAACCGCATGTGTAGGGGGCAGAAGAGCAGCGTTGCGTGCACGCTGTGCGGTGAACACGGCAACCCGAGTTCGACAGCCGGCCACGGCTCGCGTCTGTTGCGAGTGACATCTGAGTTGGTCCTGGCTCCTGCTCCATCAATCCACACGGACTAGCGTGGGCAAGTATGGCCAAACTGAGACAGTGTGGAGAGGCCTTCATCCGGCGGGTCAGCAAGTTGTCGCTGAGTGCCAATTTACACACGGAACAAATATCTGAGGATGCAAAAGCCATTATTAGACCTTGAAGCAAGATATGTGCTTTAATCTCCCATTGTGTGAGATTGCCAATGACTATGTACCTTTCTGCGGAACAAAAGACCGGCGTCAATAACAAAACAAAAAGAGCAAAGTTAACGGCGTATTACGCCATCATCCGGTGACCCTTTGGCCTTTTCGACTGAAATAAAACGACCTGAAAACCGTGTACTGTACACATGACGCATATGGTGCGTGCATGCATATAAGGTCCGTGCATATGATGTTTTGCCACCTCAATGAAAGGAAGTCTTTAAGCCACAGGAAGGAGTCGGACTGTAGCTCGCAGGTCACGTTGATGAAAGACATTCACAGAGGGAAAGGAAAGAAAAAAACCCCATGTGCGCAAAAAAAGAGCACGCTTGATTCCAGCAATGCGCTCGCTCGCGAGAGAGACTGGGCCGAAATTCTCGACTTGAAGCCGGGAGTGGAGCAATATTGACTGTAAAAAAAAGTCAGTCGTGGTATCTTTATTTAAAGGGTTAAACTGACCTACTTATTAATTCGAAATATAATCACGATTCTGCTGATGACACCCTGCAATGTCGAAACCGGTCCAGAGCTTTGCTCGTCATGAAACACTGCTGAAATGACACACTCCCAGAAAGCCATGCAGCTGATGCGTTGTGTAAGAATTCTACTTGTTTTATTTTATACGTACGTGACTTTACCGAAAGAACCAAAGAGAAAGAATTATACATTGATATATTTGCGCTGCAAGACGGAAACGTGAAGGAGACATCTTCTCTGCTTATTTGTTTTCTTCTTAACTCGTTCATTGTTCACCGGTTCCTGCAGGATATTCCACTCTTCAACAAAACCGAAACGAAAATTATGATATTTTTTTGTTAACGGTGGATGGCAGCGGTGATGGTTGCCTCTCTCGGTTCGGTGAGAATATGTTGAGCCGATCCTTTCTCACTTCATCGTTGTTTGTGCTCCGCAGGAAACTCATTTGCGTGAAATTAAGTCGGTCGAGTTAATGACATCGACAAACAGAGCTATGTGAACGTGCAGGTTCGATTTAAAGCTTTCGTGACTGCAGGGATTCATCTTCTTGGTTCTTTCGGTAAAGTCACGTAGAATGTAAATAAAATAATAAAAATAAAACATAATAAAATTCTCACGACGTTTCGGCCACAACACAAGTAGCCTTCCTCAGGTGAAGAAACAGAACTGTCAGGAAGACGGCGCTTTAGTGAACAGCGCTTTAGTGAACAGCGCTGTCTTCCCGACAGTTCTGTTTCTTCACCTGAGGAAGGCTACTTGTGTTGTGGCCGAAACGTCGTGATAATTTTTATTTTACTATGTTTTATTTTTATTATTTTATTTACATTCTACGTGACTTTACCGCAAGAACCGAGAAGATGAACGTGCAGTGTTTGTAGTGTCGAAACGCAATGGCGACTCAGGAAGCTTTACAGAACTAAAGGATTCTCCCCCGTCCTCTCTTCCCCCCAGGTTTTGAGAACATTGCACAATTCACGAAGCATGAACCCTTATCTCTCATCCATCGCAACGTAAGTGCTGGTTGTTGCTGGATACCTGGAAATTTTGGCCTTTCGGCTTGTGCTCAGCAACTGTGATGTATATGGTGAAACGAATTGTTATATTGAAATCCACATTTGAACCAAAAACAATAACATCTATAACAGTAAATTGCATTGTAATTATCTAACAATAACAAAAAACATGCAGTATAAATAAAAGTAACAAAAATAATAATACACAATGAAATAGGAATCTTTGTGTAGAAAAGCCAGTGTTAAAAAAGTGAGTTAAGATTCGTAGAGAAGACATCAACACTCGCGAGCTTATTGCTTTGCTCAGGCGCAGGGTTCCACAGTTTCAGTGCAACGAAGGAAAGCGGATGGTCACCCGACTGTGAGGCTGTCCTTGGAGCCATCAACATCAGGCACTGCTCGAGCGAAGAGCTGCTGCCGGCATGTGTGACTCTAACAGATCACAGGCATGTCGAGGTGCTAACCCGCCCGGTGGCTGTGTATGTTACCATGAGGTGGTTTGCCCCATCCACTGTCAAACATGAAGGCATTTAGCTCTCCAATGTGTTTTTAAGTTGTACCGCGTGTTGTTTCTGCATGATGTCCGACGTTTCGCTGCACGGGCTGGCGATTCAGTTCCCGAAGAAGATCTCGCGCCACAGGGAGCGAAGCCGAGAGCCGAACACCGAGCGGCAGGAGCTGCAAGCGCGTCTGAGGGCCACACAGCAACTCAAGCGGCGTGGAGCGTCCAGAAATGTGGCTCGTACAATCGGCGAAGCATCTCGTGTAAAGCATATTCGATCAAGATGGTTGTGACGATTCCGACGCGAGTGGCAGCTGTTATTTAATATCGTGTGCTTCATGTACTATCTGTACCAGCCTGTTTTTATTAATAATTGAATGTTTGAACTTTAAAAGGTACGCGTACACATGTCTAAAGTATATGGGAGCTATCTTAAGTTTCCCTTAAAAAAAAACCCCTCGATGTTCTGATGCAAGCATCTGTGACTGGGAACGAGACAAAACATTCAACTTGTACTGTGTAACTATTATTAGTTTTATCGAACATTCAATATTATTAACACGTAGGCTTTCGCGACCAATATTATTCATAATAAAGGTTTATTATGAAAACTTTTATTATGAATTCAATATTATACTTACAAAACAGTTACGTATTATTAAATTGTTCTTTGGTAGACGGAAACACATGCAAAAACAAATTATAAACCAAGTACTGATACAGGGTGGCCCAAACGTTAGTTTACCAAGATACAAAGTACAATCTGAAAACGTAACTTTGGCCTGCAGTTCATCCGTTTCAGAAAAATGTGGCTTGACATTTCGACATCGATGTTAATACATTGTGACGTGAATATGTAATGGCGACATTGTTTTGTAAATAAAAACGTAAATGTGTCTAATTCAGAAGCTTAACTTTTATTGGCCACTGTGTATTGTAATGAAAATGTTGTTGCGAATGTTTATTTAACGTTTGTTTGTAAGAAGACAACATTTTTTGGAGTTGATATTGCTAAGAGTATTCTCTACGCGCCAGACTACGCTGCCTATGAAAGTTTTTAATATTTTTTAAAAGAAGCCTGTTGCGCTCGCACAACTGTACGAGTAATTTCAAAAGACAAAGAAATTACGCAGAGATGGAAATGAGAGAAGACGCTGAGGAAGGAAGGTGAGAGAATTAAATCAGTGAGAAATTGGAAGGAAATACTGAGCATAAAAATAAAAACGAAGCAATAAAAGACTCCATAGAAGTTGCGCTGTGTAGCTCGAGTAATTTGACTGCTGGAAAGGAAAAGTGCCCGCTTTAACTTGACAAATGCCTGGAATTAGACGCAATTAGGGGCTGATTTCATCTCACTCAACTCCAAGCCTCCCCAACCAACCCTCCCAGCACAGCCAGACTTGTGGATAAAAAAAAACCTCACTGAGACTTAACAGGTTTCCTTTGAAATTACACCTTTCCGGCAAGCAGACTAATGGGTGGGTTTGCCTTGCCTGCTGATAGCCACAGTGGCATGTGTTTCCACGAGGGCTCTTGCACGCGATTTAGATTACCCCTTAGTGCACAGTATGCCAAGGATGCTGCTGTGGTGTTGTTGTTAATGGTTAGCACACTGGACTTGGCAATTCCAGAGGTCGCGCCGGTTTTAGTCGGTTATTATCTCCCGGCACGGCACGTGAAACAGTGGAGTGACATTTTCTTCTTCTTCTTCGTGTGCTTGCGTGACGGTGGGAATTGTTGGCAGATTTGAAAAAGTAGTCGCAAATCACTTATCTGGGTAAAATCACTTGCGGCGAAACATCTCCCCCCAACCCCCTTACTGGCAGAATCTGCTCGTCTGTGACACAATACCTTTGTGCTAACCTTGCAAATACCAAATATACTGCATTAGTAGTACTGTACACGCTTTACTATTTCCATTGTGTACTGGTAAACCCACTGGACTTGCAATTCAGAGGTCGCTGGTTCGGTTTGATTTCCCGACGCGGCAGTTAAAGTAATGGGCAAGCTTTTGTTGTTTAACTCCCCCATCCCAGCAGTATGAATGTGTACACCACAGTCAAATCAGTGGTTCGGAAAGTCGCATCGTGTGGTGGGGTAAACCGTGGGTTACTCACACCCCCTCCACGACGTCTGGCAAGCGGGGGAAGAGTAGGCCAAATTCCCTTCTCAAGGGGCTTTCTAGTGCTCCATCTAGTGGCTTGCAGGGGCGTGAGCAGGCCATGGATTGCGGGGCTGGCTGCGCTCGCCACTCACTTGTTCCCCAGTATGTTGTAAACCCTTTGTCGCCACGAATCTCACGATGACCTCGTCCTGGAGTGTTTGTTTATGCCCAGATAATGGACGGCGGGACCGTAATTTGTGCGTCTTTTTGGCCATTGTAAAAATATTCACGACCGCTCCTCCGTTGCATTCAATGCCTTTTTAAATCCTCTTTCGCCACCTAGCGCCGCGTGCCGGGATGTTTTCTGCGAATTTGTGATAAAAACCGGCCGAGCGTGTAGACACTTCATCCGAGACGTCAACCTTGCAACCTCCTGGCTTTGACATTCCTCCTCGTAGGCACCGGTCGTGTGACCGTCAAACGCACCACAACATCAACATGCCGATGCGTGCGTCTCCTTCGTAAGTTAGACTCTAAAGACATGGGCCGTATAGGGCCGTATAGGTAACCCACTGTCGTCTGCGATCCTTTGCTATTCTGATAGGATCAGCAGGAATAGCAAGGGAATGGCAACCCTGCACGAACTCTCTCCTGAAGCCATCTCGTCATGGCTAGCAGAACTCGACATTGGCATTTAGCTCCTGAACATATTGCCAAGAACAGAATCGTGTCGATGGCTTTGTTTACTCAGACTAACTTACTCGTTTCAGCACCGTCCATAGGGTGGTGCGGGGCTCGGGGCAAACCCCACTGTGTGGGCCCCCCAAACTGAAGTGGAAGTTTGACATTTGACACCACCGTGACGTCGAAGCGCGGTGCCCCCGAAAGCGCGGGGCCTGGGGCGGTCGGCCTGATTCGCTGTACCCTGGGGACGGCTTTGACTATTAAAGGGATCAAGTAACGGCCCTGCAAGTAGAATCGATTGGGATCTCTGGCAACAAAGCAGTACACACCTCCGTGATATAAAACGGTCCGTGGAAGCGGATATCACAGAGCTGCATCTGACATCCCTTCAAGTGACTTATGGTCTACGCAATATAATTCGGCACTTTTCTCACTCGCTCTGATAAAAACAATTCAAATCTCAGAACCAAATTGAATGTGATGTTTTGTGTGTGTGTGTGTGTTACCAGTCAATTATTCCTGAGGAGGACACCATCAACTCTAAACACTTGAACACCTCTTTAGATCCAAATCTAGGGTCTCAGCGGTGCCAGCTCAGCACTCTGACCTCTGTGCTACCCAGGGCCCTTCAGCAATGCATATTATTACACGCACTGCCATATACTGTATATGAAGGGCACAGCTAATGACTCCAGAGCAACAAGCCGTAGTTGAGTAAACGTTAGGTGATTGGTCCATCATGTCAATGAGAAAGTTCATGAAGTTAAGAGTGGAGTGATACATTTTGATTTAAGTTTTCGTGACTGCAGGGATTCATATACTTGGTTCTTTCGGTAAAGTCACGTAGAAGGGAAACAATAAAATAATAAAAATATAAAATAAAATTATCACGTTTCGACTGCAACACAAGCAATCATCATCAGGTGTGAAAACCACAGCAATATTTTTTTTTTCTAATTTTCACATTGATGATGATGATTGCTTGTGTTGCAGTCGAAACGTCGTGATAATTTTATTGTTTTATATTTGTATTATTTTATTGTTTCCCTTCTACGTGACTTTACCGAAAGAACCAAGAATAATGGAGTGATAATTATCAAAATGCGCAGTGATTAATGCTGTAGCTGTGAACACACACGTCATCCCTTGGTGTGTGAGGATCGTGTTGGGACACGTTGAGGTTTGTCGAGGAGACGAGGTAGATGCGTTCCCGGAGCTTCGTTCGTATATCGAAACTTCGTATACTGAACAACTTATAACGTTAGCGTTTTGAGGATGCGTTCCCAGCCTCCGTAACTTACCATTTCATACTATTAAGACGTTCATAACGTACCATTCGTATTGTAAACAAAGACAATTTATATGTAAAGTAATATTAGATGTTTTACTGTACAGCATTGAAATGAACTGACAAATAAAAAATAAAGTGTACGTACGGTACTGTAGATTCACACTCACCAGTGAGGTGTTTGGTGCAGTCGTCACGTGGCATTGCCACCACGCGGTGCTGCGCCCTGATTGGCCCTCACGAATGTATACAAACATTCCACGACCCGCTCACGGAACGCATCTGATTCTAATTAGATTCTTATTTATATAGTACCGTAGATGGATTCTCGTATAATTTATTCATTTCAATTGCATTTGTGTATTATTTAACTAGACTTGTTTTTTTTAAACATATAAATAGTTATATTGAAACTTCTGTACAGCCCTTTGTAAGTCCATTGCTGAATTAACCCCTACACCATCACCCCCGTGCGTTTCGATAAAGCGGAGTTGTTTGACCATACTTCACCAGGCTGGCCAACGTGGCTTGGTGAAGCGAGATGCCAGGGACTGTTTCAAATATCACTTGCCACATTGATGTTTGCCTTGACATTGGTGAACAGGCACAACTAAAGACATCTGAAACACGCGATAGCGTCTGACCTAACTTGAGGGAATCATCTACGTAATATTGTCAAAATGTTGCTCGCATTTCAACATCCCTACGGTTTACTGGGAAAAAAATGTGGCACATTTGCCCACGTGACAAGTTGATTTTATGAACTGTTTTGGTTGGTAGAGGGGATAGCTGAAAATGTACATCATACCTACACGATTTAATAAAAAAGTAGATGAATCAAATCTTATTCTATTGAAATGAGAACTGAACCCTGTAATGAATCACTAAGTAGATTATGTAAAATCAGTTAGGGAACATTTGTATAATCGAATTCTTATCAGGTCCCGTTATATAAGCGCTGTCTCCAACTCATATCCACTCCAACAAATAATTCGGTGACTGCCTTGGCAGTGGTACACAAACACATCCCAAAAAACACTCAACACGCTCGTCAATAAACACTGCCTTAAAAGGAAAAAAAAACGGATCCAAGGCAATGTCTGGCCATTGCCTAACATGTCACCTAATATATCTTATGTATCCACTCTGGCCTCACTATATGCTGTGAAAAAAGGCAATTACCCAAAATATCACTCATTAAATGCAGGGTGGTCCAGATCTCACGTGACCCCCCCCCCCCCCAAATTGACCCTTCCTCTAAGCACTCTCGAGGTTCAAACCCGCTGAGGCCTTGCGATGTCCGATGGGGACGGCCTCATTCCGGGTGAATTTAGTCATAGGCTTGTACGGGTAGGAACCTCCTGGTTCCACCACCAGCCCACAGGGGATTATTGTGTCCGTCCGTCGTGCATCCACACATGGGAGGGGTGGGGCTGGGTGGAGAGGGGAGGGTGGGGAGGGGCTGGGTGGGGAGGGGCTGGGTGGGGAGGGGCTGGGTGGGGAGGGGAGGGTGTGGAGGGGCTGGGTGGGGAGGGTTGGGAGGGTGGGGCTGGGTGGGGCTGGGTGGGGGAGGGGCTGGTCACCCCGTGGTGCCCTTATAAAACTCAACGTTTCACCTACTCACGCCGGCTTGTGCCCGCCCTCACAGTCGGGCATATTTGCGGAATACACCACGTGGTGCCGCCGTTGACCCTGGCCATTGACCGAGCAACCCAACGTTCCTACCAGCTCCCTCCGCAGGAGAATGTGTTACTGTACCCGTAAGGTCCAATTAGTCTGCTGGCAAATGTTTAAATAGAAAAGACGTGTGATGGCGTCTCTATTAGCGACGGCGGTGTGGCAGATTGCCAAGGTGGTCTATTTTTGGCCGTGTTTATCGAGACATGAATCCGTATATCTTAGGGTTGAACACAAACCCATATGTTAGGCAGTGATGTATTTATATATACGGAATATATTCCGTATACCAGAATGTGTGTGTGCAAAACTAATGAACTTACAACATTTCTGTAATATACACCTTTATAATCGATAACAATAGTTAAGTTCATTAAAACAAACATACAAGATCACTGATTTTAAGATATGTTTAATTTGTGTTTATGTAAGTCAGCAACGTTTCACTTCAGTTGTATAACGCGTGCGAAGGTTTTAAATGAGGTATTTAATTGTAGCTCTGGCTAATTTGATAAACATACCCAAACTATTTCATGAATCTCAAAAGACCACAGGTGTAATTAATGAGTACATATCATAACATGTTAACACACCAAAAGCACTAAAATATAGTCAATTGCCAGATATTTTCCCTGATATGCACAGCTGTACCATAATGTACTTAGAGCAGTGTCATTAATATGACACGACTAGACAATCTCTATGTACACTAAAGCAATGCAATCGACAAATGGCAACATATTGATAGCAGCCCATTGTTGGAGACACATTGGCACCTAAAAGCGTCGTGTAGACTCAATCAACATCGTTGTCACGCATACAAATGTACACAGTGAGTCTTTTGCATTGGCATGAGATTGATTGATGGTAATAACCGTCTGATTTTAAATGGATCACTTGTAGGGGAATGAAAGTTACACTTTTAATCACTTGTAGGGGAATGAAAGTTACACTATTAATCAAAAGAAGCACGACTATTATTTGGCTTGCTCAGGACTGAGGTATCGGCAGATTCGTGATAAGGGCGGATATGTTGGACATTGATATAGAAAGACTGTTGCACCATTCACCTGCGTGTGGGCAGTCGATTGTGCAGCGTGATTGCACACGTGTTCATTGTTAACATGCACGCCGAAAATGTTCACTTACATTTGGACACAACAGTACACTGATAACATCACGGTGATATCATCTTCGGTAATAGCTCAATGTTGTGTCCCGCTTGTCATAGAAATACACGTGCATTACATTGTATAATTAAGCATTGCTACAGACGAGATGTGAACACGTGACCTAAGGCGGTTTGGGGGGGGGGCGCAGTGGTTAGCGCACTTTGCTATAAACACCTGCCGAGTTCGATTCCTGGCCACGGCGGCGAATGATATCCGACCCGTTCTTGGCCCCCAACTCCCTAACTTATTCATCACAAGACCGCACTGCCCATCGCGGTGAAAGTATTGGCGTCACACAACCCCCAATTGGCGTCAAGCAACCACCATTGACTGAAATGGTGCCAGGGAAGCCCTCGTCCAGCAAGGGGATTGACTCGGCGCTGTCAATTGAGGCACAGGGCAGCCAACGCTGAACGACGACTTTAAATGTTCGTGTAACGGCTGTCATTCTTCAAGAAGTGTTCCCTAATCGGCCTGCTTCACGCTCAGTGCTCTCACACCGCGGCGTTTATTTATTTCTTACGAATCATTAGGTGTGTGTAATGTGCAGTGACTCGATTTGCATTTGAATGGCGAGAGGGAAAATGCAACACGTGGACGGCAGTGATGGGAGTGAGTGTGAAGCCTGCTTTGGAATTTGTGAAGTTCTGCTTTGAAGGATACAGAACACAAAACAATCATTCGCGTCGTTGTGGACAACTCTTAATGAACAAAAATAGTGCGTCTCTTCGCACGAGACCACAGCCAGTCACCCACACGGCCTTCTGGGAGGGCGTCAGTTCAACAGCATTGATTCAGCACATGCAAAAACTGGATCGGTTTCGGCATACAGCGTCTCATCAGCAGATACTGAAATACTGCCAAAAGGCCGTGGCGGGGGGGGGGGTCGATAGGTTTGCACACAAAAAAAGTTTACGAATAAATCCGAATAAGAAGTTGATTACCCGCGTATATGACCCATTGAGCGATGCAGCTCTTTTTCAAGTGTGTGTGTGGAGAGACACACGCAGTGAATGACAGAGACATATCGTCTGCTTATCTAGCAGTGTTCAAGATGGTTACTGGGTTTCCAATTAACTTTTTATTTGAATGTGCCATTTCATTTGATTAAAAGTTGATTGGAAAGTCAATAGTAGGATTAAGTATATACACATTCTTCTGAACAAAAAACGTGAACCCATTCATGAAGAGCATAAAAATGCATATGCCCTTCATATTTTGTCAAATAAATACATTTGGGATACAGTGAATACGTATTAACTTAAAATAAGACATATGATGAATTGTATACAATCAAAGCTATAATAAGAAATGCATAAATCACGGTACACAATGGCAGCGTTGGCCGTTTATGTGAAACGATTCACATGTTGGAAAATTGGTCAACTTACATGAATTAAATTTGATTTTAATAAGCCGAGTTCCCTCTCTAACTTCTTAATGACACTCAGTGAACAGCATGCATACTACAGCCGGCTTATTGTTACTGCGGTTGTATTAGTCTTACACATTAGCGCTGTCTGTTGCAGAGTGGAAGTTAAACATTTCGTGTGTCGACTCCATGGGCCACGTTTGCCAAATTTGAAATATTACTCGATTGGGATTATACACAAAACTGAAACTAAACGACTTTATTTTCCAGGTAAAGCCCACTGAGCTGTTTGCTCGTTTTCATCGCTGACCTTGCCACACATACTCGTTCGTATCGTCACACGTGGGAATTTATAGTCGCCAAATAAAGTGGGGGGCACAACTGGAGGACCTGGAGAAAAATCCACGCGACCACTGGGAGAGAGAGAGACCACGCCAACTCCAAATATACAGCAGGCATCGTAAGGGACCGAGATCAAACCCACGATCCTCTCAATGCCAGGTGAGGAAGGTAACATCTCATCACCGCGGCGCCTCCTATACATAGCAATCATCTCCCGCTACTGCGAAAACTTGGCAGGACCCTCCTGGAAATGAGTCGTAACACTCGGTGAAGCTTTTTGTGCATAATATTGGGCACGTTTTGTAAACAGTAAAGATACAAAAGGGGTGATCTGGATAAACGTGAATCAATGACACCAGTATGTAATATTGACATTGTATGTGATTTTCAGAGTGGGAAGGGAAATAATGACGTATTCAGTGGAGTGATCGTCTTGCACTTGTCAAAATTGACTTCACAAAATAAGATACATTTTTATTAGATTTGGCTTCGGAATTTAATTTGGCGAAATGTAAGCTCTGAGAATTAAGTGTAAAAGTTTGACTTGCATGTGAAAAATAATCTCTTAGTAGAGTGTATGTCAAAGTGCATACTCCACTCTTTAAAAGACAATGCATCTGTTACTCATTGGTTTTTTCGGTAAAGTCACGTATGTAGCAATACCATAAAATTATATTAAAATAAATCAATCACGACGTTTCGACAGCAACACTTGCTGTTTTCATCAGGTGTAAAAAAACAAATAGCGAGGGAGCACATAGGATGACATCAACGCAACACATAGAGAGCGTAAAACTGCACGGAGGTAAATACAAGAAGATGAGAGACGAGAATTCAACAAACCTAAGAAAAAATTACGTGATGCAAAACCAGTCGGCCAACAACACAGTTAGACACTTGCCTGGCGGACCACGAATTTCAGAAGAGTGCTAAATTTCGTGTTCATCCTCTGGGTTGAACATACCAGCATAGACAGAGTGAACAAATACGAGGTACAAGGCAGCAGAAATACATAGACAGGGACACCAAGAGGCAAGAAGAGGAAAGACGGACAGAGAAGCAGGAAAAAGGGCCGGAGGGATGAACAGACAGAGGCTTAAAATAAGCAGTAGAGGTGGGGAGAGGGGCCGAAGAGAGCAAGGGGCGCAATAGGTTTAGGACAGAATTGTAAAGGTAACTTCCCCGTGGAAGTGTGTTAATAAAGAATTAAAGCTTTCGTGACTGCATAATTTGCTCAATACATCTGCTTAAATAAATATTTGAGAAAGGCCCTGGGAAGGGTTTTTCTCCGCAGACTGTTATCAGGCAGACTGATGCACCGCGGTGGGATTTCTAATTAGATATCTGAATATTCAGAAAGATCACAGAGCACTACACTAGTGAGATTTCTGAATAGATCATTCGTCTCATCACATGACTGCGATAGCACGGATGTCAAACATTGCGGGAAATAGTTTTTAATGATTAAATGGAAATTGATACCTCAATGATTTAAGTGTAACACGTTATTGCAAATGTATTCCTCTTGGGGGCAGTGCAGTCACGAGTCTGGAAAGCAATCGACTGTATATGGTTTTAAAGAAATATAAAATATTAACTGGTACCACTTTCATGCACATTTCAGCAAAGTAAAATATTTTTTTCACACGGTTTCAATTGAGCACGTGACCGTAAATAAACGTGCACAAATGCAAAGGAGACTCATGCTGACATCTTTGAGTTCTCATATGGTTCAACAAAATCAAATTGAACTTGGGAGCAACTGCCATGGGCAGCGCTGTAAGTGCATAGTGCGTGGAGTCTTGTCGTATGCTTCTATTTACGTAGGCATAAAATGTTAAAATCCCGTGCGGTAAAACGTGTTAAAAATGTTAATGATTTAGAAAAAAAAACCCTGTATAAATAATGATACCAACCATAGCAATAAAAAAAAATCACAACCTGACAAAGAATGGAAAATAAATTGCTTGCAATTTTTTCGCAAACACACAATAGAAAGGTTAATTGAATAAAAGCGAGAGCTCTTGGCTGTGTTTTCTGGTTGTTGTGCGTATTGTTCGGCACGAAGTCTGAAGTTTTCATTAGTAATCGCGCCAATGCAACCCTTAAAATCCATCGGAAAGCTATAGAACACAACTGCGAAAACATTTTGCAGTGGTGTTACCAAGAGCTTAATTTCAGACTCGATATTTTCTGTAAAGCTGCTAGTCCTGTTAGGAGGTAGGGCTTATTGAAATAAAAGATGACCGCTAGTGTGTAAGGTACGCCTATCCATAATAATGTACCTTTATTGTACCATACATAATCCAATGAAAATGTTTAAAATGAAAAATAATAGCCCAAAAATAATCATTCCAAAATGATTCCTGGGACAGGGTCCAGGCAGTTTTGGCTGAAATTGAGCACTGGGCGTCAGTGAGAGTGATTCGAGGGATGCTATCACTTCACGTGGCTTCAAAGTGCACGTGCCCTGGTACAGGTGCATCACCGCCACTCAGAGGTGAATGGCGGGTGGCGTTGTTGTTGCTATCACCAGGGCGCTATGGCTGCGTGCCGATGTAGTTCTGCGCGCAGAAATCTTGGATGCGCATGCACGCCTCCTCCAGCATCTCGCGGGGCACGGTCAGCACCACGCGGAAATAGTTGGGGTACTCGAAGCACTGAAACGTCAAACATTGGCGAAGAAGCAAAAAATCACTCAAACGGTGCTCCTTCACCACTGCCGTAGCAAAGGCAGGGCGGGTGGAGCGGCCGCCCCCGGTGCCCATCCTGAGGGAAGTTGCTGCCTGCATTTGGAGCCGAATTGTTGGAGAAGAAGCAACGAAGCATCAAAGTGGTGGTTCAAGTATTTTGGTCGGGCGGTGCCTCGCGAAGACGGCACACCTTGCCCCGGCAGCTAAAATGCCCAGCTATGGCTCTGTTCACAACATACAGAATGTTAAGTAATTGAAATCATCGGCGTAGAGGGACCGAACTATATATATATGCACACGCGTGCGAGAATACTAGCAGGGGTGGTAAGGAGAGTGGTTTATGACGTCACGTGACATGGGTGAGGCGTAGGAGAGGGAATGATGATAAAACGTACACATTCGCTATCCTTTCACCGCCCAAGCTCCACGGGTTCCTGCTAGTTAGAATTTAATAGCGCAATTCTGATCATCTGCTCTGACGTATTAGACGTACCACAGTGCAATGCTCCAAGAAGCTGCAACAAAAAGTGGCCTCTGCGTGATTGGCACGGGGCCCTGGTGCTGGGAATGAAATGGGAGGCTCCTGTCCAAATTCCCTCCACCTCCGATCTCCGTAGCCCAGAACCCGGGCCCCTGCGGCCCATGGGCCCCCGTGCTGTGGCATCGCCTGTACATTCGATAGCCACGGCATTGCCTCAAGCATCAATGTGCAATGGAACTTGATTTTTTTTCGTGAGAAATTACTTAAAATAATACCAACGCTGCTCTTTTCCTCACAGCGGAATGGAGAAACCATCCCATGCCCAGATTTGTGCTGTGTTTATTTTTTGTCACGGATGGTTCTGAAGGCATGGAGACCATTACAATTGCAGAATATGTGCTGTATCAGCATAGATCATTATCTGTATGGCAGGGAGAGTAAGTGTGTCTGAGCAGTGCCGTCTATGTAAAACTCCACCGGAACAACGAGGGAGAGCTGGGAGAGAAGCATGGCTGCGATGTGCATACACGCAGAAACTCAATGTTACACGTCACTTAATCGCCAAAAATGCTAAACATCTTTACAAAATATACTTCAACACAAAACAATATCAAAGATAGTAAACATTTCAATCAAAATTGCATTTCTGTGAACAAAATAACTGAGTGATGTTCTTTTATGTAATGTTTTGTCACAGCTGCCAAGCACACATTAATGTATGTTCTCAAGCAATGTTATCACAACCAATTTCTGCCTGAATAGAATTAGAAATGTCTTTCAATTCGTTTTAGACAAAATGGAACTTTCCACATCAAATTATATACAAACTAAAATATCTTAGTACAAGCGCCCATTTATTATATCATGCTTTACACGTAGCAAAGATCACAATCCAGTGGACAACAAAAGATATTGATGGCTTAATTATGTGATATTGGAATTCGATATGGCGCTGGCACATTGTAAGTAAGTACACTGCCTTGTGATAGGAGGAGTGGCTTGAACCCCAGTAAATTATAGTGGCCATGAAATTATCTTTTCATAAGCTATCTCAAGGATTGGCAACAATTTAATGTGATTCATTTTTTGGCCATCTTCCTCATAATCAATATCGCGCTGAGTTAAGTGTTCAGTAAGAGTGAGTCATGCGTGACGGTTACACTAACCTTGGCCGGGAGGCAGAAGACCGATTGGTCTGATATGAGTCTCTGGGTGAACTGCACGTCGTCCTTATATTCGGGAAACTTATCCATCTGTATTCCAACCTGAGCGATTAAGCAGAGATCCACACTGAAAAATCTGAATAAACAAAAACACTTAAATCTCTGAAACTATAGATTTTGTTCAGATAAAGTCTGGAACAGAAGCAAGGGCGACACTTGGCACCTATTCGAGCAGGTCCATGTCACTGTATTCACAACTTTTTGTCAATCCACAGCAAGATGAAGCCCTCCCGACGCTATGTTGGTCATGGGCAGGGGTCTGAAAACAAATTGACAAGAAGATCCTTTTTTTCGAAATTGGTAAAAAAACCTCAATATTTCCAGACCTGCAATGCATGTGAATATGAGACGGTGGTCCTTGATAAATAACATCATGAAGCAGTCCTTAAAGAGCCCCATGGCACGAGCCATGGTCAGGAATCAAACTCAGGCGGCTGGGCTCACCGCGCAATATGCGACCATTGTGACCAAACCGGTGAGTGCGTATTGATGAAGGTGGGGGCATGCTGATAACCGGTTCAGAAATCACTCACCACTGATGTTTACCTGTGGCCAGGAATCAAACTGAGGTGACAAAAGTTCATAGCGCAGCGCCCCAACCACTGCGCCACAACGTTGTGAAACCGGAAGTCCTTGTCTGGATGTTTAATTGATATTTTAAATGAATAATGAAAATTGTGAGCTCGCCAAATGAATTTCTTCAAGTAGGAAAAGATAGCACCGTGTGTTATGTCGAATATCATGCTTTGTTTCATGATACGATTCATTGTTTGCACTGTGTTACTGACCATCATGTACATTGCTCCACACGGCATGAACGGCTTGAGACCAGGGACTGTGGTTAGGGTGTTGTAGCAATACTCGGCATTGTCCTGTGGGAAGAGCGAAGTGTCTTGACGTCAGGTTGAAGTGCGAATGCTACGCCAGTTTTCTGTGGCAGCAGCCAAAGGGTTTGAGCGAAACACAGCGCTACCCCTCGAGAGGTGGGCACAGGAACTGTCGCGCCTCTCACCGTCTTCTATTTAAATCTCCCGAGTTGAAAATACCCACGTGCACCTAAACTATGAAAAGCAAGTGTTCGTTATGAACATTTAAAAAAAAAATGTCAATCCGAAGCAGAGTCACCGACAAAAGGCATGAAAAGTTATGCGATCCAGTGGAGTTGACCAGTGTGGCCTTCCACGTGTAGAAAACACTCATTCATTTAGAATTATTCAAACGTGATGATAATATAGGACCGCATATCCTGAACAATTGTCACCGCTTTGTTTGTCGGAAATCTGTGCACGGTACAAATTCTGCAGTGTTTTGTGATGCAATTTATATGAATGACGCAATATATGATCAAATAATATATTTGTTTAAAGCCCTCCAATGGGTTTTTGTGTTGTACCGATTGGTTGCATCAAGAAGCCATTGGAGAGCTATTCAGAATGAGTGCGAAAAGCTTACCCATTTATACTTTAGCCTAAATAACAAAGTGTTGCGAAATGTCGGACAACATGCATTCCAGCCTCGAGGAGCTGTCCCTCCAGCTTCTAATTTGAAGATTTACAAAAAGTCCAAGAGGGTCAACTTCAAAAGGGAGCTATTGTGAATGCAATTTTTATTAAATATCATTTCTGCTATAAGCAAATCTGCCCAACAGAGAGTGTGTAAGGCCTGCTTGCATTACTGTTAAGTGTAGCTCATTATGGTAAAATGTTTAAAGAAAAATAACGAATGAACCACAAAGATCCCCCCATAGCATTTTCCAGGCTGTTGGGGCGAGTGCCGTTAGGGAGCAACTACGAAGGCTGGCACGAGACGAGCGGTGTGACCAGAACCACGCACGGCCACCCGTGTCTCCACCCGGCTCATGTTGACAAACGACACTGTACTTATTTTTAGCTAAATCAGCCTAAGGCAGGCCCAGGACTAGTCTAAATATTTTCTGCTTATGTTGGCCGTGACCAGAAAGCAAACTCAAGAATTCGCGTTTGTATCACAGTGCACCAACCGCTACAGCAGTGTTCTCCACAACAACAGACATCTTTTGCCACGAAGTGTCGGTGACATCAACACCACACTTGTGGGAGGCTCAAGGTACTTTGAGGCCATTCCCCAACAAACACACACACGCTCACACGCAGACACACACATTAACAACCAATGCATGGTCAGCAATCAAGCAGAGTTGCTGGGTTGCATTCATGCAGAGGGCGTGAACTGCCACATGGGTAAGGGCCCATGACGCACCTTGATGAACTCCACAGTTCTCTGGTAGAAGTCGCTGGGAGTGTGGTTCAGGATCCGCTTCAGTGCTCCCTGGATCACTGTGGAGGGTCCCAGAATCTTCTGGCTGAGCCGCAACAGTCCATCGCGTATCTGTGTTTAAAAGCACAAGGGCAAAGTTGCAGCCCCACAATTGCTTTCTCACGGCACTGCTGGCAGGATGTCAATTCTCTCGCCTGGTATACAGGAGGATCGTAGGTTGAATCCTGACCCTGACGACTGCTGTATACTTGGAGTTTGCATATTCTCCCCGTGGTCACGTGGATTCTTCTGCGGGTTCTTCGGGGGTTTCCCTCCACATTTAGAAACATGCGTTGAGAGTATTTGGCTGCTTTACATTTCCACATGATAAGCTAATTATCATTTGTGACCAGGTCGTTTCTAATAAAGAGCCATATAGCTCAGTGGGCCTGACCTGGTAAAATAGTTGATCGTTTTTCTAAAGGTATTTTGCTCTTCTTCCACACTGGCCAGATGTACCACAAGAGGTAGGAATCCCCACAATTTACACCATGACATGTGACCTTTCCGATCGACTGCCTGTGATTTACCATTTACACCACTGTGTGGACACAGGCTGGTGGGGTGAGGGTGAAGACTCTTGCACCATTATTTAAAACTGGCCCCATTGGCAGCTGGAGTCGAACCGGAGAGCTCTGGATTGTACGTCCAGCTTGCTAACCATTACACACCTCTGATTAGCACGTTAACTACGTACGGTGCGAAATAAGTTAAACATACACACATACATACGACAGCATTTGTGTATCTGTGTAAATGCCCTAATTATAATTGCCACGCTCAAGCAGTCTTAATTCTTGTTCCCACTTTTCATGCCAAGTGTCAGTTCCTAAAAAAAATATCTTGAATGAGTTTAAAGGGTGCCAGGTAATTCACGTTAACGGGTTATAGCTTTTACTCAGATTTGTTTAGAATCTGTGCTTACGTTCTATCGTCTTTGCAGTGGGGTGTGTGTGACCCAATGCTGCTATGGCATTGAACTGCAAATGAGTTATCACACCTAGGCGGGAATACGCTAATAAAATGGATTAATCACAGAATTAAATATATAAATGCAACCGATAACACTATTAATACCTTTGTAAATTAGATGTGTAGCTGGGAAGAAAATTGTGAGAGTCTTTGTTTTTTAAAGAAAGAGCACGTTAATTTGTTGATTATTGAAAGCATACTTGCAGTAAAATATGTTAAACAGGATACACTGATTATACAGTACTACATGAATGTACCGTTATTCAAGATTAGTTTGATATATTTATGAAGATATGTGATGTATTGGTTCAGATAAGTGACCCATATCCCAGGTAATATATCAAACTATTATTCGAATAATGAGAAATGTATGCTCTGCATAATCCATGAATGACCCATAATCTATCCACTGCTGGATGAAGGCTTCCTTAAGCCATTGCCATATCTTAAAGTCTTGCGAGTGGATATTTAATGGCTGGTAATAACAACAACGACGACGATGGTGATATTGACGGAAGTGTGTACTGTTTTATATATATAGAGAGAAAGATATTTGATTCCATGACGATGCTCTAATTACATTACCGCACACATAATTGCGTTGAAAGTTCTGGCCATACATTTTGTCCGAAGATCTGGTGGCGGTCGTGGATGAAGACCCAGCCCATGCGCCAGCCCGGTACCAGCCAGCGCTTTGCTAACCCCCCGCACGCAAGGATGGGCACCTCGCTCGTCAGTGGGGCCATGGCATGGTACTGATGCCCGGGGAACACCTGTGTGACATCACACAAAGACAAAGATCCCCCATGTGGCCTTTAGAACAAACTGGTGGTGGCAAGTGCTGCTAGCGAGCGGCACCTTTGAAAGCCGGCACGCACACGAGATGGCAGGTGGCCAGCACCACGCCCGGCCGCCTTTGTATCCCCAGTGGCGATGTTTACTACACATCGCACCAGGTACTCATTTTGAGCGTGATCGAACTCAGGTCGCCGGGTTTGTAGCGCGGTGCACTAACCGCTCCACCACCGCTGCGTGGCATCAGAGAAGGTGCACACACACATACACAGAAGTATGCCGCTTTACATGTAAATGTTGTTGTCTTTCAGAATACAAAGACAAACACCCCCCCTATAGCTATAGAGGCTGTCAGGACAAGTTCTGTTAGCGAGCACCTTTTAAGGCCGCTCCCCATATTGCCATACAGGCTGCTAGAGCAAGTGTGGTTAGCAAGCACCTATTCAAGCTAGACATATATTAGGGTGTAATTATGTTACATTGAGGCGAACAGTGTGAGAAAAATAACATTCAAACACGATATAAACAAGATAACAAATGAATAAAGAAAACATAATCCAGATTTAAAAAAAATTATAAGCATTGCATTATTGTGAAAAACTAAATTGAGAAGGCCTGTCATAGAGATAGAAAGGTCTCAAATAGCAAGGAATAAGTTAATTGTAGCCTCATGATTACAATGCAATTAAAATATAAAATTGAGAATTACTGTATTCGCAATTCGATTGATATTTATTTTTCACTCGGAAGTACTATCTGTCAATTGTTTTTCCCTTCGTTCGTTTGTAAAAAAAACCGATTCACCGACGCATGACGGAGATGTGTAACGATGCACTCTGCGGCGCTAATCTACGCTTCCCTTGCCGTGGCGATCGCTTCCCAGTTTCTGTCGGCGACAGAGCAAGAGCCAATTTAACGTGCGGACATTGCCTGGATGTTTATTAAGTGCTTGGAGAGTACACGCAGGATCTGGCACTTCCTCAATGTACTTATTGTGACCTCTACTGCAATCTAATAGCACTATTAGTCTGCGCTAAATGAATCTCACAATGGTTGTCTGTGAGCACCCAACAAGCTATTCACTGCCATTTTGCCAATGATTAAGACGGCTTGGTGCGGCCACGATGTCACATCGTAGAGTAGTTGTCGGATGTTGCCAATACCGTTGTGACAACTTTTCAGCAGCAAGCTGTCCTCCTCGTTACAATGATCTCGAACAAGAAGTGCGGCTTAACCTTGAAGTGCCGTCTCACACACGGGTCTGCTTCGAAACACGTCATGTATATATAGCCTGTTGTCAATCCACTGCCGAATGAAGGCCTCCCATCCCCCACACAATGTCGGTCAGGGCGGGTTGTTGGTCTCAGTGTGGATCGGTGAAAATCATTTGCTCCTGGCCGGTAATCGAAAATGAAAAACTATTGAAAACTAAACTATTACGTTTTTTTTTATTTTACCAGGTAAGGCCGACTGAGATAACAGGTCCCTGCAGGGTGGGCTGGTAGGAACATTGGAATTTTGCGCAATTTTATTTTTACACCCCAACAGCACGAGATTTCACTTCGTTAAAGTATTGAAAGGGGACGGACGGACGGACACATTAATCTATTGCAGGCTGGTACACTCAGTTTACAACTTCGTTCCTACCAGTATAATGCTCTTTTTCAGAAGTGACCTGGCCACAAATGATAGCTCAACGAAGTGGCTTATCACGTGGACATTTACAGCAGCCAAATACTCTAAACTCATGTTTCTAAACGTGGATGTAAAAACTGAAGACTTGGAGAAAAATCCATGCGACCACAGTGAGAACACGCAAACTCTAAATATACAACAGGCGTCAGGGTCGGTATCGAATTGACGACTTCCTGTATACCAGGCGAGGTAGTTAACATCTTGCCTATGCGGCGCCCTAATCGAATGAAGGTTGCCAAGTTCATGGCGCGGTGAGATAATTTGCTGTGCCACCTATCCACACCAAATGTAATCTCAGAATGACGCAATCGCAGTATGGCTATACAATTGTGGTATTGCAAGTACTCTAACAGCAGCAACACAGATGTTAAATTACCTGACCTACTTATGCCATTATTTAAGCTATGCGGATTAATATTTTCTTCCATTATTTTAAGATGCCACTTTTGTGGATTACATGTCTTGTAGATTGCATCTCATACCATATCTCCATATATCTCATCTGCGAGGATAGGGACCCTGTTCTTTTCAGCAACTGAAACAAAAACCAAATGACAAAACATTGCATTATTATGCTGAATAATTAACCGTGTAAATTCAGCAACGATGATCATCACTATGTAACACGATTTTTGTTCCTGGGTAGTAGGTGTTATTTTCTAATTGCTTATGCCTCAAAAGTATAGAAAATGTCTATTATTCCCCACATACTTTGCTTTTGTGACCAGGACTTTATGTGAACGAAAGACTCAAATGCACACCACGTTTTCTCATTGAAAATAGGTAAATTTCAAAATATCACTGTCTTGGTCACAAAAGCAAAGTTTGTGGGGAATAATAGCCATTTTCTGTACTTTTGAGGCATAAGCAAGTGGAAAATAACACGTACTACTCAGGAACAAAAAAGTATATATATATTTTTGTTACACAGTGAATTCTTTAATCGGAAGCTTATGACATGGGAATAGAGACGTGTGCATGCCAAGCATGCTAGGAATTTAATCAAAGGAAATGGTAAACAACTTGGAAGTTCAGAATATATCATGGCCAGAAAGTGCTCTCTTTACATAACATAATTTATAAAATAAGCAATGTTATGAAAATCCAGGCTCTCTAAGAAACCATCAACGTTGTATGGAACTCAAATACGTTTGTTATGCGGGGTTCACTGCACTATCGGCTTTGGTTGTGTGGGGTCGGGGAAGCCATGGCTCTTTATATATTTATCCATTTAATAATTCACGTGCTTTATGTAAATACTTTATTATTAACGGCCTTGCCTTGATCTACAGATTATTCTTTCCCAGAGTGCAAAATTCGTGTGCCATCGGGTAGCAATACAACAATTGGCTTTTATGTAAAACGCGCCCAAAGAGCATGTGGACACATTTTTTATACATATAATAGATGAGCTGCCACTTGCAGCTCATCTATTATATGGTGCAGCATTTCAAAAGGCACGTCTCTGCTTTGTGTGGTTTTGTGTAGAATGTAATCATGGGTGGAGATGCCGCCACGGCTATGATTGTTAGCACGTTGTAATATATCGGCAATCTGTAAGCTCATTCGAGATTCTTTTCAGGCGCTGTCAGTTGACTTGAAAGGTGGGAACAGGGATCGAGGCAGCTCAAGCTTGGACACTAATTAATTAATTACTTTAAAAGACCCGGCAAAGCAATTTTGATCAATTGTATGCAGCTGCCATCACTCGGCATGTGCCACCTCCTCACCGACGAGGTTCCTCGCCAGGGAGGCACGGTGCGGTTGGTGAATGTCAATGACGAGGAGCCGCACTCGCGTGGACTCACCGGCCAGGATGTCGAGGATGTGCTCGCGGTTGAACACGGAGCCGCACGGGTTGGAGGGGTTGTTCACCACCACACAGGCCGTGCGCGCGTCCACCAGCGACTCCATGTGCTCCAGGTCGATCTCCCAGCACTGGTCTGGCTGCAGACAAATTGGTGGGGGGAGGAGGGAGCGGTGGGCCAGGGTAGAGTGGTGGCGCAGCGGTTAGCACACTGAATCACAAACCAGGTGACCTGAGTTTGATTCCCGGCCACGGCTAACGTCAGTGATGAGTTAAATCTGAACTGCTTCTGCCTCCCCCGCCCCTCACCCACTGGTTGCTATGAAGACTATGTAAGGTTGCTTACGTGATATTACGAGCTGAGTTCAATTCGCAGCCAAAATTTACACCATCCTCGAGTGATATCTGAACTGACCCGAGGCTAATCTATATTCACTAACTCGCACTGACCAGCCTGGGGCGGTATGGTGAAACAACCCCCATGATTGATACAGCTTGATACGTCCTTCATCCAGCAGTGGATTGACAATGGGCTGCGATGTTTTTATTACTACTATTTTATTATTCAGGAATAAAACCACGTCTGAAGGTGGTGGAATAATAGACTGCACTTCATGGAACAGTTATTTGTACAATATTTTTACTGTAAGTCATTGCTGAAATTGTGTGGAGTGGTTGGGGTAACATCTGGCAATCCCTGTGTGAAGTGATGTTACAGCTGTCCAAAGCATTCTGGGTATTTCCAAGATGGAAGCAAATATGAACTATTGGACGGAATGACACAATTAATTTTCTATTGCAGGAAATACAGCATTAGATGTATGGATTCAGTGTAAAGACAAGATTAGGTTATTTGTTTAGGATAAATACAGATTCTGATTGTGAGGTAAAAAAGTGATGACCGTGTGAAATGACGCCCCTTAGTCCTTCATTATGAGTATCTGTAAACATGTACACAACAGCCAGATGTTTGGCGCCTGTACGCTGATAATTACACGCGCTGGGTGAAATATCGTATATTCTTGTCGTATAAAATTCGGACGCGATTACGAATCAAGTGGCATCGAAATTAAACACGATGTTTGACAACAGGGGGAAGAGTGTGTTTAAAAATATTTACTGAAAAATCTGTGCCTGAAAAAAACCATGGTTGATACACACAACATTTCACTGTTCGTGTTAAACGTTTTTTGTTTCCACGCTGCCTCTTTTAAGCAAGAACATTTGATCTGTTAGCTTTTTCAGCAGCCATCTTCAGAAGCAACGTCCAGAGTTTATACTCCGGATTCGTTGTGTCGGGTGGTTTAGAGTTCATTCCGAGAGTTGATGTCCATCGTGAGTGGTCAGTACATTACGGTGTAATAATCCTGCCAAGTTACCTCGTTAATTTTTACTCGGACAAACTTGTGTCAGTTTTAGGTCTCGTGCAGGGGCTGATATATAGCAGGAAAAACACGACAGAGAAAACAAATAACGCTGACGCGTGTTATGTCTGCGTTAAATCAAATGTTTGGAATGGAAATCTTTAGCCGTAAAGCGAAGTTTTCCTGGTTTTATCGTAAATTTAAAATGCAGTAAAGCTGTAAAAATGCACTCGGCTGCGCCAATGATTGCTTTATGCGCTGTCCTAGGACCATCATTCCAATTGGGGAATAATACATGTAAAAAATAAACATTGTGCATTTTTAAATAATATTGTGGTCCTGTAAAATTACGGTAGCTTCGTTAAATATCACGGTTTACACATTATTTATTGTTTTATTTTAACCTGCTTTGGAAAAATGTTCACTGTCCATTGCCTGAGAACACTGAACATAACAGATCAGTGATTTTTTTTTCAAGTACAAGTCACGTTAGTTGCTTCCACGCATGTGTGTGCAAAATAATTAAGTAAAGAAGAGTCGATCACTTTTGACCTCGCAAATATTTTACAATATGATTTAAAACAATATGCGGTGCACATACGTAAGCCACTCGTGAGTGGATTTGCAGGTTGCGTGTGGCAGGATCAAGTGGGGGTATTTACATCTCTTTTACACAATGCCAGGTGAACGTGGAAGAGTCGAACAAATGCCCTCGATAGGGAGGGGCTCTCTAGAGCTCCGTCTACTGGAGGCCCTGTCGCCAACAGGAGCGTGGAAAGGAAGTTGCAGGGCTGCACCCTTATCTTTATTGATAACAGCATGGAGACATTTGGGTACAATTGTTTTTTTTATAATATTTGGGCAAGAGGCGCCAGTTGTACTAGGACATTACTCAAAACATTTTCAGAAACGCGATATGGCATGAGCCAACATGCCATCTGTAACGTTGACACTGTGGCTGTCTCCATTGGCTCTCAGCGACACACCCACCCTCGCGAGCCAATGGCTAGTGCCCACTCGCCCATGCCAGGACCTGGAAAACTGGAAAGTGGGAATGATCACCGACTCTCAAACGTGCAATGTATCGCGTTTAGTTATATAATGAAGGGAGTGTGGGAGAGGCCCTTTCAACTCCCACTATGCGGTTGTGTAATTTTCCCAAACATTATCCATAGGATTCGTGTGCAATAAGATCGTGTGCAATAAGAACATATAAGGGTGTACGTGTGTGCTTAATTACTACTAATTATTTACAGCCCTTGTCAATAGACTATTGGATAAAGGCCTTCCCATGTCATGTTGCCCATCCAGGTTGTTTGACCATACTTCGCCACGCTGGTCAGTGTGGTTTGGTCAATGCGGGGAGGCAAGACCCGTTCAGATATCACTCACTACTACGTTTGACCTGGCTGGGAATCGAACTTTTGTCACCACCCAATCAACGTGGAATGTTGGGCCAACGTTTTTGTAACGGTTCCAACGTTGGCATGCTGACTGGGCAGGTTTAGAGTGCAGTGCACTAACAAGTCGCTCCAAAATATGTCATATTTTAAAAAAATCTTAATTATTGATTCTGTCCAAATAAACTTGTGCGTTTTCAACATTTTCACCAGCTGCAGTTAACATTCACAACTCTAGAACAGCGAAATCTTTCAGTGGTGTTCGATGCTGTTTTTAAAACAAGAAAAGAACACCCTAACTAAATTATTCCAGCAGTGCGGTGTAGCTGTGAATTGTGCAACTGCCCCAGGGCACTGAAGAAAAAGGGGCAGATCGGACAGGGAGTGGCCCTTTCCATTGCTTGCCTGGCGCTTGTTACTAAAGGCGGCAGGTTTACATTCATGGGGGTCACGCGGTAAATGATTAACGCCCACGCACGGGGTGCCGAGTGAACCCAGAGCCACTGAGTGGTCAACGCGGGGAATATTGACCCACGGTGTCATCGCGTTGGGGCTCAGCGTCCCATCTAAAGTAATTGTCACGAACTCTCTCCTGAAGCCCTCTCGTTGTGGCGAGCAGAGCTCCTCGACGTTGGCATTTGGTTCCCAAACGCATTGCCGTCAAATGCAAGAAGGGCATTTTTACAATTCTATTTGTCAATACTTAATACGTGAGAAACGGAGTAAACGTGTATATCTCATACATTGTGTTTCCATGGTGTTTGCCTGTCATCTATGGCCATCGAGTAAAGTTATTTCCTTTATTTTCCTTATGATACAAAAGAACCGGAGTCGTGGTAGCAAGTGGAAGCAAGTGCGTCTGTGTGTGTGAGAGGGTGGAGGGAGGGGATCTAAATCCCTGGGTTGAAACACGAGGTGAAGAGAGAGACTATACCTGCTGCTGTTTTCCTCGACGTGATTTTGTGTTTCCCGTCGGGTTAGCGGTATGTGGGACGTGTGTGACGAACGGCCCACCCATTCTAAAATCTCACAGGTCAAAAGTTTGCTTGACATTGACTGTGTCATGCCCCCCCCACCACCCCTTAATCCTGAGTATGTGTTACGCCTCCCCCCTCCCACGCCCTCCAAGGTCATGCTGCAGGGTTGTTGACGCACACTGACCAGCAGGTCGTAGTGCTTGACGTGAACTCCGTGCGAGGTGGCCAGCGTCTGGTAGAGCGAGAAGCCGGGTCGGGGAACCAGGATGTTGTCTCCGGGGTTCGCCAGCACGGTGATCGCCATCTCGATGGCCTGGCTGCAGCCACTGCTGAGGACGATGTCCTGCGGGAGACCGAAGAGACCTTCATTCGTTGTGTAGGGTGCCTCGGTGGCGAAATGTCGACTCCCTCGCCTGGTATGCAAGAGGTTGCGGGTTTGATCATGACCCTTACGCCTGCTGTTTATGTGGAGTTTGCATGTTCTATCTCCCCGTGGCCGTGTGGATTTTTCAACAGGTCCTCTGATTTTTCCCTCCATATTTAGAATCAACATATTTGGCTGCTATACATTTTCACATGATAAGCCACTTCATTCAGCTATCATTTGTGGCCAGGTCGCTTCTGAAAAAGAGCTATATAGCTCAGTGGGCCTCATCTGGTCAAATTAAAATAGTTTAGTTTAATTTGTTAATGCTCCCTTTCGTTAAAGATAAAGAGGTAAAGTAATAAAGGCGCAGTCCTGCAATTCGTTTGGCTCACGCCACTGCCGGCAGAAGGACCTCCACGGGAGGTAGCTCGAGAGAGTGCCCTCTATGCCGGTGTGTTGGCCTTCTCTTCCACATTGGCCAAATGACTTGGACGAGGTGGGAGTACCCACATTTTACACAAGCATACACGACCTACCGATCAACTAACTGTGCTGTAGGTTTTGATTTAAAGCTTTCGTGACTGCAGGGATTTATATTCTTGGTTCTTTCGGTAAAGTCACGTAGAAGGGAAACAATAAAATAATAAAAATATAAAACAATACAATTCTCAGACCGCATCCATTATTTTAGTCTCCCCCCTCCTCTTTTCCGAACATAGATGGACTCGCCCATCTGAATAACTGCCAAATCGCTCTCCACGGTGCTAACATTAAAAAAACCGCCACTTTTTTCAAAATTTCTTGCTGTGGTTTTCACACCTGATGATGATTGCTTGTGTTGCAGTCGAAACGTCGTGAGAATTTTATTGTTTAATGTTTTTATTATTTTATTGTTTCCCTTCTACGTGACTTTTCCGAAAGAACCAAGAATATTTGCTGTCGGTGTTTAACTTGTGGGTGGACAGAGGTCGCGGGCATTGAACCCTTTCCCATTCCAAGACATCTGCAAGTTGCAGGGTGGGTCCCGTTCACCGCTGAATCTCGGAACGGGCAAGTGGTCAGGGATAATTTTATTTAGAGAGGCATAGCGCAGTCTTTTAAAAGACATTGTGCTCACCACAGAACCGTAGCGACACGACTGCACTCTATGATAGTTGGAGCAAAACTGTGCCACGCCCTCCCGCATGGCCTTGTGGGAGTCTCGGAACCGATAAAGTTATTTTCTTCCGATTCCGGAACAGAAGGAAAACTGATGACGTACACATACGTCATCGGAATGGGAAAGGGTTAAGACATTTTCACGTTGTGCCAACTGTTGTATCGTGAAATAAAATGGAGCAGGCGACCTACAGATAGCAATTTCAATGCGCTGACCATTACACGACGAAATCATCCCTTATGATTAATAGATTAATAAAGTGACTCTATTCCATGTGGTAACCTTTTGAAGAGTTCCCCACGAGGCTGATTTATTTACTTAGGGGCAAGATGGCTCATACTTGGTTACATTGTGTAGGCGTAAATGCTAATTTGAGCTATATCCCTCCAAATGTGCCAATTGATATAATTTTTTTTCAGAAAACAGGTTTTGGTGAAAAGCAAGCAAAGTTCTTGATGCATTGTAGATTATGTTTTTCTGGACATTACACCCAGCATCATCTGGTGTTAATGGATCAGCAATCATCTCTGATAATTATCAAACCAGGCCATTTGCACGATTGTTTTCATGATACCATGACACCCACTTGAGGACTTTTAGATCAGGTATCAAATCACTCGCGGTCTGAGCTCTTGTGAACGACTGATTATGCTGGATGTAATAAACTTCAGTGAAATGTTGAATATATTTGTAACCGGTTTGCTGAAAATCAAAATCAATTGGCACATTTGCCCATGCGACCACTTGATTCGTTTGGCTCTGTCAAGCGGTGGAAGGATATATCTCAAATTGGCATTATACCTACACAATATAACCCAAAAGAAACCAATTATGAATGATAATTTTGGCCCTGAAAGCCTATTTACGAGAATAAAATGTCTCATTACGAATTTAAATTGAGTGCCAAATATTAGAAAATTTGGAATCCAATGAGCATGCTAAGTATTTTGTCGTCACCGTTTTATCCGAAATACCTTTCCATTACAACGACAAATTGGAGTGCTTTTTCCATTTGGACTAGAAATTGGAAGATATAAAAAGCTTTAAATAATATAAATACGACACTAGCTTCATTGCACTCAGATACTTTGAACGTACAAAAAGAAATGAATTCTCCACGTAGTCTTCCGTGCTCACAAAGCTATAAATCAAAAACCAGTTCTGATGGTAAGAATGCCCTTTTCTATTCGCTATCCATTATCCACATGACATCACTTTATCAAGCGCTAGCTATGAAGATAGAACATGTTTATGAAGGCAACTGAAGAATGAGGGAGGTGGACAGAGACTGGAATCATCTTTTCCCTCTTCATGATAAATTTATTTTAGCAGCGCATTAATAAATTGTGAACATATGACTCAATATTTAAATGTATTTTAAATGCTGCAAAATAACAATAATTGTAATATCTCTTATTATATATATTTCTAGATATATTGCTTTTGTAGGTTGTAATAGATTGTGCAAATTAAATACTCCATATAACCACAGTTTAAGTTTATAAGAATTCAAACTTTAAGTAACACCAATGGGATAGCGTGGGTGACATTGGTCCTGGTGCACGCTTGTATTATTATTATTATCCCGGTGCTTGGCACCCTCCGATCCGTGGGCCTCTGTGCTGTTGCAGTGCCTGAACACTCCATAGCTCCGCCACTGATAGAGCACACACAATCTCGCTAAGTGATGCAGTTGAGAGACCGCACATCCTGCCATGGAAATTAATCCTTCTCCTCTTAAAGCCAGGAGTCCCACCCCTGTGTGGGCTCGGCTGTTAGGATTATATTTTTCCATCAACATCTATTCTGTGTAGAGAGGTCTCATCTACTCCTTCTGCCCTGCACTGGTGGCTTCTCCATAGCCCTTACAATCAATGGGTCTCTGTTTGAGTCTATGGGTCTATGTATGAGGGTCTATGGGTCTCTAATCTCCATAGCCATTCTCATTGCATCTTCTCTGTCTCATCTCAGCACATGCCGAAAACCAGAAAAGTCTTGCCTCCCTTTCCTTCTCAAGAATATTAGCAACCTCCACTAAGGCCTAGAAAGGTAAATTAAACCAAGGTTTACTGCTACTTTATGGGGACCAAATCGTATCTTTCTCGGCTTTTGTGAAGTTAATTTGGGTGTACGGTTGGATGTGTTTTTTTCCGAGTGTATAACTTCATACTGGCTTTAGTTGTGTGCACATATGCAACTGTAAAATAAAATGTTTAAGGTGCCACTCTAAATACTTTGGTGAAGTCTATCTTCAAGAGTAGTTGTTAAACGAAACACAAAATATTTAAAGTTCCCCTTTTTATCCATAAAACAGTCAGCGGCTTACAGCCATGAGTCAGGAGATGTCTGGCATTTGACCTTCATATTTACCAACGCTTTCACAAACAACAGAGGGCGCGTATTTACATCGACGTACGCGAATGATAAGATTGTCCACAACTGCGCTTCGCTATGGTGATGAAACAACATCACCCGCAGTGGTCAATCCACTGCTGGATGAAAGCGCCTGCCAAACCGCCGCCATCCCTCGCAATCCGTCGGTGCAACAGTCCACCGGGCGCCCGCACAGGAGCTAATTGTATTGCTGCATCTCTTCGGAGTTCGTTTTTTGTGACATTCATGTGTGTCTACGGCTGGACATGTGTTTATTTTTACGAGATCACGACATAATGCTGGCTTTTATTTTTGTACGAACACATTTAAACTGTAAAAGAGTATATATATTTATATTTCGGATTCCGCATACTTTGGCAAAGTGTATCATTATGGTTAGTCGTTAAAACGAAATGGATCGCAAAATATTTACAAGCAACGCCTCTCAATGTAACAATCGGCCACCATTGCAGCGTGGTTTCGGGTCGTGTCAGGCAAGCGATGTAGTTTGAGATTCATTCTTCACGTTTCCCAACCCTTCATTCGACAACAGAGCTAACTCAATTACAGTAGTTTTGGGGAATTTCTCAATTTTTCTCAACTCAAAATTAAGCTGCTCGTGAAGAATAACAAAGAGCCAATTCACCGCAATCCTGAACTTGTTTTATCGTAATTTAATACGAGGTTGAAAGATCACCAAACTCAAATCTTGTACAATACATAATCATTGTAAACGCAGAATGATGTCATTACACATACTATATATACGAACGTATTTCCTCGTTATTCGCGAGAAATACGTTCCAGAGATGCTCATGAATAGCAAATTTCACGGAAAATGATATTGGCCTACGGAAAGCTATATTTTGAATGAATTACCTTAAATAAATAGGTAAATAATTAAGCTAATCACTTTATCTCTTCACACATTCTCTCTCATCACTTTATCTCTCATCACTTTATCTCTCACCACTTTCTCTAATCACTTTATCTCTCATCACTTTATCTATAATCACTTTATCTCTCTCATCACTTTATCTTTCACCACCGTATCTCTCATAACTTTATCTCACCACTTTATATCTCACCACCGTATCTCTCATAACTTTATCTCACCACTTTATCTCTCACCGTTATTGGTTGCCTTGGAAACTCGTGATTTTAAGTTAATGTTAACTATTGCCTGTAATGACGTGCTCTGCTCAAATGTGCTTCTTAATCCCGTTGCCAATTTGGGACTTGTTTTATACTTGATATCACGTGTGAGACATGATATCAAGTAATACATATAATACATTTACTTATTTATCTAGATGAGCCATACTCAGTCATAGCAGTTATTTTGGTTCCTGCATTGAGTTTTTATTTCATTTTTATATGTTTTCAACCATTTAATTTATTATACAAGTGGGAGGAAACTAGAGGGCTTGGACAAAAGCCCATGGATGTAAGAGGGCAACACTATGTTGCCGTACAGATGTAAACAGATGGCGATCAGCCCACTTGCTATTCTGCCTTCTTCTGGGGAGCCAGGGTATGGTAGCTCAACACCCACGGGAGGAGAGTTTCAGAACATCTGTGTGTGATCCACCAAGCCTCACAGCCTTCTCAGTGCTGGACTACAGGCCACGTGCATAGCCACCACCGCCCAGCAAAATGACAACGGTGATGTCGGGCAATGGTCAAAGTGTATTCGTCTGTGCAGGGCCAAAGAAATTCACTCCACATTTGAACACCGTTATCTGGCTCTCATGTCACCTACATGGGCCAACATCCCTGAGCGGCAGCCGAGCGAAAAATGTGGCTTAAAGCATCGGGATAAGCGCAGAGAAACGATCTGTGCTAAATATAGGTATTGCAGCTACCTTATGTTTAAAACATGGCATGATAAACGAGCTGGAATTGCAATAACTTTTAACCATGAAAGGTGATGAATGCGACTGGAGGGCAACTAACCCTGGCCTCCAAAGGGGCTTCAGCGCAGGTGTAGTAATCCGCGATCGCCTCTCTTGCTTGTTGATAACCTGTCGAATTTAACACAATTTAAATGAAACATGAGCAAAAAAAAACACTTGACAATTGTTATACCGTACTAGAATATTTATACATTCTATTTTTAATTAAAAGCAGGCGAGTGCTCTCAGTGAGGTCACAGGTGTAATTTGCAAGGGAGAGCTGGGTTACAACGCAGTCCGTGGGAATAAAGCGGCCGTCACCGGAATTGGAAGGCAAATGCAACATTTCATAGACGACAATTCTGCGATTGTAATGTGGTATTCATTTATATTTCTTTGTTATATGGTAGTAATTTTAGCGCGTTTGGAAGGTTTACATTTTTTACCACTTAAGAAAAATCAGTCCGCTAAGTGGCTCCCCAGTAAAATGGAACATTGGCCGAACGCCGGCATGCTTACTAGGTCAGCGGCAGAGCAAGTGGCTCACAGTCGGAAGGTTGCGGGTTGACATTTCTTGTTGAGGGGTTGAATCTCCCCATCATCCCACTGGGGTTGGTAAGATTAAGTACCACTTTGTGGGGAAAGGCAACAGTGGTTGTCCGATGAAGAAATGTTGCCCCTGTCATGGGGATGTGCAATTTCTACCAATGGCTCAGGGCTGTACACAGGAGATTAGCATCGCCTCAGCAGGAAACCACTGTGACTATTAGACGTGCACAATTTTACTGGATCCTATTAGGAGATAGGAAATGAAATGAACGGAGATTGCATTAATTTCATTGAATAGTAAGTCGTTATTGTAACTAGTATGCATATATTGTATGTTATTGTGAGTGCTATGAATATTATTGTTAAGAAAATAAAGCAGTTATTTATAATTGAGCACAGACCTCATAACCATGGCTGGCAGAGCTGGCAAGGTTAGGACGAGCTGTTTTATGCGCCGTGCTAATTCGGAAAAAAACTGAGTCGGCTGAAATGCCTTTTGCCACGTAATGTGACTGGATCGAGTGCAAGGGATCACAGTGGCTTTGTAAAGACCTTGATTTGTTCGATTCGTTTTTTCTTCGTATGTAGCGAAATATTCACTCCATATTGAAATATAATGACAACAAATGTTGTATATTGTGTCTGTAATTGAACAGTAATATTTCAACTCATAGAAGAAATAATCAAAATGCATTATCGATGTGACATTGAAGCCTACATGTCTAGCCATTTTGTTAATCCACTGTTGGATGAGGTCTTCCCCACTCCACGTGGGTCTTGGGGGGGGGGGGGGGTTTTCCAAACTTCACCATGCTGGCCAGTGTGGGGTTTGTGCAGGCGGTTAGCACAGGCATGGGAAACAAATAAGCATCGGAGAGTACGACAAAGCATTGAATCAACTTATTTAATCAGTAACATGCAAGCAACGTTATAATTCCATGGGACCTCCTTTGCCACTACCAAAATATGAGAATAGGTTTTCCCCTTTTTTCTGGTAACAAAACAGCTGTGTTGAGATGTTAAAATACCAAACTGAAACCTTTTACAATGAATCATGTTACTGCATTAACCACAATACTTGTGGTCAGAATGCAAAACAATACAAGACCAGAGGACGCATTTTGGCACTTTGGCGTCCTCTGGTCTAACAGTTTGAGACGAGGCTCCAAAGAAAGCTGTCTCTGGTGTGGACCAATCAGTTTCAAAGACAATGCCAATATATTATCAGAGTAGGTTTTTTGTTTGCATTCTGACCACAAGTATTGTGGTTAATGCAGACATGATTCCTTGTAAAATGTTTCAATTTGGTGTTTTAACATCTTAACACCTGTATTGTTGCCAGATAAAAGGGGAAAACCTATCTCAACGTTATAATTGCCACGTAAAAAGTGTTTGTAATTTAACATGGGCTGCAGGCGTTACAACATTTCCTTCCTTGGGCACAAGCACAGCTTGCGCGCCGTGGTGGTGATTGGGGCTCACCGTGGTGGTGAGAGGGGCTCACCGTGGTGGTGAGTGGGGCTCACCGTGGTGGTGAGAGGGGCTCACCGTGGTGGTGAGAGGGGTTCACCGTGGTGGTGAGAGGGGCTCACCGTGGTGGTGAGAGGGGCTCACCGTGATGGACAGTGGAGCTCGCCTGGTGGTGAGTGGGGCTCACCGTGGTGGTGAGAGGTGCTCACCGTGGTGGTGAGAGGGGCTCACCGTGGTGGTGAGTGGGCTCACCGTGGTGGTGAGAGGGGCTCACCGTGGTGGTGAGAGGGGCTCACCGTGGTGGTGAGTGGGGCTCACCGTGGTGGTGAGAGGGGCTCACCGTGGTGGTGAGTGGGGCTCACCGTGGTGGTGAGAGGGGCCCACCGTGGTGGTGAGAGGGGCTCACCGTGGTGGTGAGAAGGGCTCACCGTGGTGGTGAGTGGGGCTCACCGTGGTGGTGAGAGGGGCTCACCGTGGTGGTGAGTGGGGCTCACCGTGGTGGTGAGTGGGGCTCACCGTGGTGGTGAGAGGGGCTCACCGTGGTGGTGAGTGGGGCTCACCGTGGTGGTGAGAGGGGTTCACCGTGGTGGTGAGAGGGGCTCACCGTGGTGGTGAGTGGGGCGCACAGTGGGGGACAGTGGAGCTCGCCTGGTGGTGAGAGGAGCTCACCGTGGTGGTGAGAGGGGCTCACCGTGGTGGTGAGTGGGGCTCGCCTGGTGGTGAGAGGGGCTCGCCTGGTGATGAGAGGGGCTCACCGTGGTGGTGAGTGGGGCTCACCGTGGTGGTGAGTGGGGCTCGCCTGGTGGTGAGAGGGGCTCACCGTGGTGGTGAGAGGGGCTCCCTTGGTGGTGAGAGGGGCTCGCCTGGTGGTGAGAGGGGCTCACCGTGGTGGTGAGAGGGGCTCACCGTGGTGGTGAGTGGGGCTCGCCTGGTGGTGAGAGGGGCTCGCCACTCACCTATGGAGGGGGCGTAGCCGTCGTAGTTGCCAGAGTCGATGGCCTCCTTGACGGCCGTGCGTACCTCGTTGTCCGTGGGCAGATTACGGAACACCGTGGGGTCGCCTGGGTCGGGGAAACCAGGCGGAGGAAGGTTTACACGAAGGGAGAGGGGAAGTCTTCAGCACGCGGGTCAGATACAGCCCACCACTTAATGTTTTGCAGCCAGCAAACTTCCGATTAGCACGGTTGGCTATGTACAGTGCGAAAGAAGTTCAACATGCATACATACAAATGATATGTATCCGTCACCAGATAAGGCCTAGTGTGCTATATAGCTCTTGTGTTAGAAGCGACTTGGTGAAAAATAGTAGCTCAATGAAGTGGCTTATCATCACGTGGATATTTATAGCAGGCAAATACTCGAAATGCACGATTATAAATGTGAAGGGAAAACCGCAAAACCTGGAGAAATATCCTCGCGACGACGGGGAGAGAGACATGCAAACTCCAAATAAACAGCAGGCGTCAGGGTTGGGATTGAACCTACGACCTCCTGTATAGCGGGTGAGGTAGTTAACATCTCACTATCGAGTACTGGGACCTGACAGAAACACTGCGTTTCTGATATTAATGCACGCAGCAGTCATTTCTGGAGGCGACCCCAAATTATTGATCAAATTATTCTTGGATAACCTTCTAGTGCGGCTCTCTAGATAGCTCTCTCTCTCTCGTGATAGGCCCTCCTGCCAGCAGTGGCATGAGCAAGCAATTGCAGGGCTATACCTCTTCCATTACCAATTTGATAACGCGACGGTAGGGAAAGAGGTTCCCCTAGCTCTGCTTTACACGGTCGCCTAGAATGTACCACCACGTTATTGTCATCGTGAAATGCAGGTCCTGGCAACAGTGTTGAATTAATGTTCTGCTGCAATGCCCTATCAAGCAAGTTAGCTTAATGCCCACACACGTGCAACCACAGCACCAGCTGTCTCTCTGTTACACGTAATGGGATATTGAAGCCTTTTTTTAGTAAGAAACATAATCTAAATGGTAATGTCACCTTTATTTGCTTCTAACTCTGGTAAAATATGTCATGAATATTTTGAGACCCTCCCTAATGAATGAAAACTTAATGACGCTGCCACCACATATGTTTTTAACGAATATGAGATTTGTTTCAAATGCAGACTGCAACATAAATATAAATAAAATAAATTTGCAGACAAAATGTGTCACTCCACTACATTTTCAGTACATTTAAAAACAATTCAAATCAGTATCTGGATCCCTGGGGCTGGTTGCCCCTATTCATTGGCAACAACAAACAGCCACATTTGGGAGCCTTTTTTTGTGTGACACCTGGAGAAATTTCCCCCCTCCTCCTCCTCCACCGTCTCCCCTAGGTGGAGCTATCTCCTGGTTTTGTGAAGTATTCGTCTTCCCAGAATATGCCCCCGTATTTTGTGCGTCGAAGGAAGGGGGCGACCCTGGACAGAGCTCACCGATGGAAAGAGATATCATGGCCTTGTGGGGGTTGGGCTCGATGTGCATGGAGTCCACGATGGCACGGATCGGGTTGAAGGTCCTCTTGGCCATCTCGGAGGCTTGCACGTTCCAGCGCTTGGGTCCCACCGCGCCGGCCAGAGCCCTTTCCCTGTGCCCGTTACCCGCGGTCACTCCATTCATCCCGTTAATGGTCTGGTTCGCCATCATCTGACAGACAACGCAGGGCAAAGTCGTAGTACACTTGGTATCCGTGGCCATTCTTAGAGCGCGCACGCTATGAAGTAAAGAAGGGTGCTACGTTTCACAGACGGGGTGTTGAAGTTCGGGGCGACATTGCTTTGTGTCATTGACAAATTGAGTAATTTTCCTTATCTTGAGGTCACTTCAACTGGTCAAATAAAACTTAAATGAAACTTGAAACGTGTGGCTCATTTTGCCATGACGCTGGCACATGTGGGAGCCTCTACAATTTCCGAATAACTTGACGGAATCTTTGAGGTCCACTGCGAAGCATCAACCAGGATGGCCGCAGGGTTGGAAACCACAGACCTCTGGAACAAGCTGAAAACGCACTGCCCCATTAATTTCATTTTATTGTATATACAGGGCAAATCATTTGTCTATTTCTTAAATCTAAATTGAAAAAATAATAATTTAGAACTGCTTTTTGTCTTCAGTGTGTTGCCCTTCACCGCACCTCTGATGAGCACGTTTGGCTACGTACGGTGCAACAGAAGTTCACATACATACACAGATACCCGCTCACGTATACAATGACGCTGGTCCCCATGCAGCGAGCGGGTGATTGGTTACAAGAGGCATGGAATAATTATGTGGCAATCATCTGACATAACCCCACTGGATTGCTCCTTTTGGCGTTATACCAAAGACTGTGTGTACTTGACAAAATCCGAGATATCAATTATATTTATTATGTACGCACGACAATGTGTTCAGGAACTAAATGTAAAGATCTGCTCGCTACGAGATGGCTTATACACAAAATGTATAATACTCTTTGGTTTTTTCGGTAAAGTCACGTAGGTAAAAATCAATCAAATAAAATGAATCAAAACAACTAAATTAAATCACGACGTTTCGGAGGTAACACAAGCCTCCGTCTTCAGATGGAAACCGTCACAGCAAAAATTGTTGTATCAAATGAAGAGAGCTCTAAGACCCGAGATTATATACAGGTTAAGGGGGGGGGGGGGGAGGAGCCAGGAAGGGCCGTGGGGGGGGCTAAGTTAAGCCTTCTTTTGTTATGCTGCAGGGGGTTAGGGTGACGGAGAGAACGCCGAGAGCAGGCGGTGGCAAGTGTTTGAAGAAAATTACACACATGAACAAGACTCAGGAGGCAGTATTTAAGCTGACAAACTGGTTGCCTTGCAGTATACTGCAGTAAACTGTAAGACTGCTAAAGTTTAACTTAGGTTTAACTTGGTTAAAAAGGGGCGAATCAATCTGGGAATAGAAACCAACTGGAAGAAATGAAAAAGGCTGTGCTCTTATAAGGCAGCTAAAGTTTGACTTGGTTGATGACATCTTTCCAATGATTGCTTAATTTAAAAGCATCATCTCAGTTGAAGTTGTGTCTATGTTTGTATATCTGCATGACTTCATGGACAAATCGTTGGTAGTATCCGGGAGATTTGCAGAGTACTTTGGTATCGGAGAAAACAATATCATGAGAACCCGCTGTGTTGAAACAATCATCGGCTACGGCCGAAGAATTCGTTCTGCCGTGTTTCAAATCTGATTTGTGCTCGCGAATTCGGTCAGAAATGTCGTATGAATCCTTGCAGTCATGAAAGCTTCAAATCTAAAATGTATAATGTTCATTCAAATTAAGCTTTGATCGGTAAATATATCGATGACCGAGGCTTATGTCTCACCATAGAATGTTGGAGGAGGAGAGTGTCTAATAAGAGTGAATAAGTGCACTGAAACCGGTGGAAATACATGTAGCGGCTTTGCAATAAGATGTTTTCGACAGAATCTCTCCCCATTACTTTAGTGGCGGTATCTATAGCCGGCCACGATCGTATGAACGTGGAATTTGCACCACTGGCTCTAGGTCATAAATGGAGATGATCGCACCACTTTGAATGTTATGATAGAATAATCTATCCCTTTCAATTCCTCGGAGCGGAATTTGTTTTTATCTTGCAATATTTCTTGACTTGTTGGACCTTTAATAGGCTGCACATACACCTCTAGGTTATGGACTTGCCCCTTTGTTATACTGATGAGACAATGCTGCTGCTTCTGATTACCGAAACTAGTGGCTGCATTAATGTGCGTGGGGCGTAGTACCAATAAATCGTTATCCCATTTTGGAGATGACTTTCGAAATCATTTTTAAAACGAGCCTCCGCTTGCTTTTATTTTATTGCATTCTCGGTGTGTTCCTCTCAATGCAGCATGCATAATTAATTAATAACGCACTCCAGTTGATATTTACGTTGAGTAATCGAAACAACACTCCCATTGTTGCTGAGTCAACATTCTGGCAAATCGCATGGTACATTTGCCAAACAAACGGCGGACGAATCCACGTAAAAAAACCAGTGTGGAAGCTGCACCACGCACTCACCGTATCGAATGATCAACGATGACAAGAGAGGAAAAAAACCGTTGCCATAGACAGTGGCTCCCCGTTAACAATTCCAATATGTGATTTGGCACGGGCAACATGAGATTTGCAAAATCTGTACTCACAGTGGGAGGGAGAGCGACTGTGCAAAGGCTGCAGATTTGTCGAGGAGTTCAGGGGCTGGTTATGGACTTTTTTTTGGGGTTCAACCTGTTTCGCTACTTTATCCCGAGGAATTAATAAATAATGGCCAGGCTCCATTTGCTACGCGACATTGAGATGCAGCGGGCCTGTGCACAGATTTCAATCTTAGATCAAGCTTGGACATAAGTGCAAGGGCCCTCTCTCTCTCAGTCAGGCTTGGGATAATTTAATTATTCATATGCACAACAGAAAATTATGGGTGTAATTTAACCAACATGAAGTAAAACTTTAAAGCGAAACTTCATTTTCGTGCAAATTATCCCAAAGGTAAAATTTTCATTCGACAATATAAGGTAATATTTAATAATTAGTACCAAATATATATATATTTTTCCATTTAATTTCAACTAAAGCACAATACTCGTGTCGTTCTTTATGTATGTGCTATGAAAAGGGTCGTTACCCAAAACGTCAGCTAATTATATATATTCCCTTTTATTGCCAGTGTTATTGAAGCAAGTGTTGCGTATATGTAATGATTGTAGATTGTCGTGCCAAACCCCTCTGATTACAACAATGTCAGGGTCAGCCTGAAGGCACTGGGGGGTTGGAGGCTTGCACGGAATGCAGCAATGATTGCATCATGCGTCTCAAATTTTCATTCTGAGTTTGTTGGGGACATGTCCCCATCATGTATATACTGGCCGTAGGTTCAAACAATATAGGCGCAGCCCTGAAATTATTTGCTCACGGACACTGCTCGCGAGAGTTGCCTCCAGTCGTCTTTGAAGAGGTGGGAGTCTCCACACTTCACTCCACCACACGCGACCTTTCCGAACGATGGTGGAAAATCTTCTCTCGTCAATCCAGCAACTTTGTAGGAGGTAAAGATGCAGGCCTGCTATTTGTCCTAGCTCACGCCACCGCTGGCACAAAGGGAATCCTCGATCTCACTGTTTCTCAAACTTTCTAGGTCTGCACAGACCACTCAACCGATGCCAACATTTCCTTTTGACAAAACGCATTCACGTCTCTCTAAATGCCACGACTACTAAATTATGAATATTGACGGAACATAATAAAAAATATGTAAGGGGGGGGGGAGCATTTACATTTTAGAGTTGGGTACTTCGATCAGGGTAGTTTACCAAACTTATATTTCAATATAATAGGTAAAATATTAGTGTCCGAAACAAAAAAGGATAAAAGTCGTCATTATTTCCGGATCAACCTGCGATTGTGTCACAGCCACCGTGGCCCACGTGGAGGATCGCCGTTGGACTGCCACTCTGAGAACCGCTGGGCTGGAGAGGGCTTGAGAGAACGTTACGAGTTGCTGTGTTTGTCAACTCATCCACCAACGCATTGGGGCATGTAATTAATAATAATACACATAAATGTAATATTATTTTACATTTACTGTAATTATAGTAATTAATATATAGAGTAAAGTCCGAATGAAATCTGTTATAGTTCATTAATAGTGGTTAAACAATTATGCAAATGTACGCATTCTTAGAGAGGTTTAGTTTCTGCGTGTAGATCCCTCATTAATAATATCAGGTATTTACATAATCTATTTAAATCAATGCATTCCGATTTAAAATGCGGGTACCAACTGATTGATATGACTAACGCACACGTGCAAATTGCCAAATTACCGCACTGCTAATTCTCTACGGAGGAGCATTGAATGCGTTGCTAATTTGGGCTCAGCACGCAAACAAAGCAGCTGCGGTGGCAGTTGGTCCCGGACTAATGATAATGAATCACTAACTCCAGTCAAAGAACTGTTTGGGAATTGTTATCTTTGGTCATCGACCATATACGTAACTCAAAGATAATTAGGATTGGGTCCTTGGAAAGAATATAGAGAACAAAATAGATCAGCAGATAAATAGGTCTCCATATATCTGTTTCTCAGCAAAAAAAAAAACCATTAAAACAATGTTAGAGTTTTTCAAACGCTACATGAAAATAGTGTGTCTTTAATATAGTATATCATTCATAGTTGCCCGACGAAAACATATCTAAAGGATCTTCTTTATACCTGGGCAATCGTAGGGTCGATATACATTTGTATGGTGCTGGGCTATCGGCTATACACCCTACAGTAGACCATACATTACACCTACATTACACCCTAAATTACACCCTACATTACAACCGACAATACACCTACATTACACCCTACATTACACCCACATTACACCCTACATTACACCCTACATTACACCCTACATTACACCCACATTACACCCTACATTACACCCTACATTACACCCTACATTACACCTACATTATACCTACATTACACCCTACATTGCACCTACATTACACCCTACATTACACCCTACATTACACCCTACATTACACCTACATTACACCCACATTACACCCACATTACACCCTACATTACAACCTACATTACACCCTACATTACACCCTACATTACACCCTACATTAC